GCTTTCCGTACGGCGGGGCGGGGGGCCGGGGCCGGCAGAGCGCCGCCAGAAGGCGGCGGTGAATCCTAATCCCTTCGGTCGCTTCCCGCGCGAGGAGCGGGGATGCGGCAAAGCCTCCGCGGCCTCGTAGGGCTGCCCGACCGCCTCGCGGGTGAGGGGGAATGACCGGCCGGGCAGCCGCTCCGGTCGGGTGGCGACTCAGGCCGCGGGCCGAAGCGCTTGCTTGCTCTGGCGGCTTGCGGCTCCCGGGATGGGAAAGGTGGTTTGCTGTGGCGAAAAGCAGAAGTGGGATGGCGCCCTTCCTGCGTTGGCAGCGCGCGGGCGAGCTTGGCGTTAGCGTGCGGGTTTTTTTGGGGTGGGGGGACGGAAGTCCCTTTGCAAAGTGTTTCTAAGGGAAGCGTCGGGGGTTGGGATGTAAGGTCGCCTCCGAAAACGGATCGACGGTGTTCTCCTTTGGCACCGGCTCGCTTCCTCCTCTCCCAAGCTTTTCTTTCAAGATATTTATTAATTTGGGCACTTTGGAGTCGTAAGGATGAGGCTTTGGGGAGTTTCGAATGCTTGGAGCAATACAACGGAATAGTATTGGTGTTTTGTTTTTAATGTGCAGAACAGAAAGGCAGCCCTTCTGCAAACGGTGTGTTGTGTGGAGTTAAGTGTATACCACTATCTGATGAAAGCAATAGGCCTGTTAACACAATGTTATGCAGGTGTGCTCATGTACATCCTTCCTATAACTCCCCCCCCCCTTTGGTGCCTAATTGGCCCCTGGAGAATCAGGCGTTGGATCTGTACATGGGGAGGCTGTCTCCTTTTGTGAAGTTACGTGGAAAGAAGCCACATTGGGTGCCACGGCATTTATTCCCAAGTATGCGTTTATATGTTGGTTTGGTTTTTAAAACATGGATTAAAGGGAGGTGGATTTTTTCACAGCAGTGAAAAATGTAACTACCTGCAAAAATAGCCTAGTCTAATCAGGTCAGCATGCAGCTCTGCTATAATTGTTCAGGCTACAATTTTATATGTTTGTTGTGAATTGCCCAGAGTTCCCCCATTGGGGGGAGATGGGCGGTTGAAAAATTTAATAAATAAAATAAAATAAATAAAAATAATTGCACACCTAACATATCTCCTGTACAGTATTTTTCTCCTTTAGCAGCAGTTATTCAGAGATCTCTCCATTGTTTCCCATCTTCTCTTCCTCCTTGTCTCTCCATTATTTCCTCTCCTCCCCATTAACTTTATTGTTATTTAAACTAGAAGTGCTAGGATATGCCTTGGGGCCCTTCTTCACTTCTTTCCTTGGGTACCTCTTCTGCCACAGGCCTCACTTCTGGGCCTGACTCTGCTCATGTTTTTATGAATGACCACATGCACCTCTTCAGAGTTAACCTTGGCTTTTTACCACAAAGCCTTTTCTTTCTCTTTTTTTGACACCCCTTGCTGTAGAACTTTCCCAGGAGGAAAAGGTGCAACGCCTGTGGGCAGCCACTGAAGAATGGCCAGTGAAGTTCAAGAGTCACTCCTGGATAGTTCCTGTTCTGGCCCTGAGGAAGATAGGGATTCAGATAGCGGCACTGTGAATAAACATCAGGACTTGGATAGAGATCAAAGTGAGCCTAAGACAGTTGCCAAATGTTTGGGTGCAGATGCCGAACATTTGGAAATGCCACCGCAGCCTGCTGATCCATGCCAGGCCACAAAAATTACAGTGAAATGTGAAGAGGAGCAAAAGACTGAGGCAGCCTTGGTGCCTCCACCTGTGGAGGTTGCTGTCCCTATTCCAGTGCCACCCTTGAATGAAGGGAAGGGAGCAAAACGGATGATGGAGGACGATGCTGATGCTTTTAAAGAAATGCCTGATGTCTGCCAGGAAGCTAGAGAGCCAGGAAGGGCTATGCTGCTGCCTGATCTCTTTGGGGAAGCTCAGGAAGCACATAGCAGTTTGGACGTCAGCCAGGCAGGAGGCTGCACAAAGGTGGAACAGGCCTTCCCATGCCTGTCCAACATGGTCTCGGAAAATCAGCGCAAACGCTTTCGGGGCTTTGCGTATAAAGAGACTGAAGGTCCCCAAGTGGCTTATGAGCGGCTCCAGGAATTGTTGTTCCAGTGGTTGAAGCCAGAGGCCCGCAGCAAAGAGGAAATCGTGGAGCAACTAGTCCTTGAGCAGTTCCTGAACCTCCTCCCTGAGGATGTCCAGAAATGGGTCCGGGAGCGTCACCCAGAAAATGGGGATGAGGCTGTCGCCCTGGCGGAAGACTACCAATTTCTGCACCCTGAGCCTGGACGGCAGCCCTATCCAGAAAGGGCGAGGCAGCGGGCTTCAGCAAGGAGTTGGCTCCGCTAAAGTCTCAAGAACAGACAGGCAGGAAGGGCTATTTGTAAGTAACAGGGAAGGGACTCTTAGGGACATAAAGTCTTCTTTCTGGTCGGTTGATGGCTACTCTGCTCAGAGGTTTGCTACTGCTCAGAGCTAAAGAGAAGTGATGATTTCGGGCAGCTACTTTACTCCTTGTATGCCGAGTTCTATGTGATGCTTTGCATGACAATAAAAGGCTGATCTATTCCAAAATGTATTTCCTCATGTTCAGCTGTTGCTCCTAGGTTGCCTTTTTCTACCATTTATCATTGAAGTTTAAAGATCGCCCATAATGTCACAAATCTCTGCTAACTATGATTTTCAAGGTCTGAGAGTCAGAGAAGCATTGGTAGACTTTTGGGACAGGTTCCCTGGACTGTGGTTTTAAACTATCCTTTAGCCCATTATTGTGAAAGCAATGTGGAATAATGTAGAAGAACCAGGCATTGGTTAGAAGGTTGCCTTACCTTCTCATGGGCAGGGGTTTTCTCTTAAACTAGTGGGTAAGGCTGACTTGATCACTTGTCTGTCTCAGGTAGCAGATTTGGGGGAGGGGGGATCCATGAGAACAGAGATGTACAACTTTTTTGAAGCCAGGGGTAGCACTTGAGTGCTGGGGGCCAGTTTTTTAAAAAGGGACCAGGACTGAAAATTGTATTAACTAAGATGTTATTAAAATCAAATGAGTAAGTTAATATAGTTCTTCCCCATGTCACCAAATAAAAAAATGACAACTTGGAATGGCTTTTGGGGCCCCATCCAGCCTTGAGATCTCAGGTTGTACACCACTGCATTAAAGGATGGTACTTTAGTCCTTGGGCTTACCACTCATGTTTTTTCTTCCCTCCAGCATCCAATACCCTAGTGAGACATTTTCTAAAATTCCATATGAAACCAAAAATGAAAACTTTGCAGTGGGGAGTCAGATTGTTTTTTCTGATGAGCCTTTGATTTTTCCTTACAGCTGAGGAGACTCAAAGACCTAGTAATCTACCAAGCTGAAGAATTTTGGAGTCACAAATCACACCTCATCTTTACTGAGTATGAAAATGTCTTTAAACCTTTTCCTACTGGGGAACCATTCTCCCAGGGAAAGCCTATGCCTCATCTGATGTGTATCTGGGTACATCTGAGTATCTGAAGGAGAAGAAAGACTGGTAAAAACATGTTATGCCCTTAGTCGATCCCAAGGCATGCCTCTGGGCACTTTACAGCACAGGGATGGGCTGGGGTGAGGGCAAAACAAGTTCAGCATGTGAAAGGGGGAAGACTGGAATGTACGTACTTGTGAGCCCTCTGAAGCAATTCAAAAGAGAGGCCTTGCAATAAGAAAAATAATAACACATCACCTGACTCAGATTGATCTGATGTATCTGAGCCAGCTTTTGCATAGCCTCTACAGTGGATTACGTTTCTCTCCTCCAACTCTCCAAAAGTTGCTTGGGTGAATCCGCTTTGTCCTACCCATCTGCTAGCTGGCAGTAGTAGAGAATAACATCAACGTTTTGCTTTTTCCTCCTTCAGAGCACTGTCTCGTGTTTTGGAGAGATTGATCTCCTCTGTGCGCCCTTTCTGGGAGACCTGATGCAGGCCATAGCTGAAACCTCTAGAGCATCAATTGAATGCTGCTCAGAACATTTCAGGTGAAGAAGCGTCTCAGTGCAGAGATGGCTAAGTAATGCTAGGCTCCTTTTCTCATGTTTGTTTCTTCCCCTTGCCAGTTTGTCTGCTGTGGGTATAGGGCTGTCATTGCTGGCAAAAGCTTCCACATCTTTGCAGGCCCCACATGGTCCTGCATATTCTGGTGGACTGTTACAGGTATACATTGGTTAGATTGTATGGAAAGTCCCCAAGGAGGCTTGCCGTAAGACTGGGCAGACTCATTCCAAAAACCAGTGTAAACATGTTTTAGCAGCAGCCAAACCATAAATCAATCTAGGAATCTTCTTAGAGATGCCAAAGAGGCTGATTATTTGCTAGAAAGACACTTAATGTTTTAATTGGCAGACCAACCTCTCTCATGAGGTTTGTGTAACATTGTCAATGGCTTGGACAGGATTTAAAGCCTGCCATTCTGATGTGCAAATCAAATTAATCATCATTCAATGGACTGCCTGTGGATTGGATGTCATATGCTTTGAACACATCAGACTGTCTTCTCTTTAGCAGCAGATTGGAAGAAATTGGTTAGAAAAGAAAGAGTTGTAGCTGCCTTTTCTTTCTGCCTGAACACATACTAAGATTACTGCACCAGAACTCCTGTTTGTAGAAGAACTAAGTTTTTGAATCTCTTTGGAATCCTAACACAATGTTGCTTACATTCTTGCCTTGTAAAAGTTGGCTGGATTTTTAGCCATGCTTTTATTTGTGTAAACCATTTTGGGGGGGGAGTGCTTGTGGATGAGTGCATGGAAGAAAGAGTCCTTCCCACACATTGACTGAAGATACCATCTATTCATATTCTTCAAAGTTTCTTGCTGGTCTTTTCATATCAGTCTTGCTAAATTCAAAGAAATTTGGGTGGCCACTTCTCGCAAGGCCCTTTTAAGCTAGTGGTTGCTACATCTGCCCACATTTGATTTCCTCTAACCATTCCTAAAAATACAACCTGTGCTTGACACCTTGGGCCATAAGCATCAGTGGCTGGATTTGCACAACATACAAATTCAGGAATGTGACTTTTTTTCTGGCCTAGTCCACTTGCTTGGTCTTTGAATGGCATACTGGGGTGCTGCTCTCCTGGAGCTGGGACAGAAACTTAATTTGACTTAATTTCATTTACATGAAACTTTAATAAAAATTAAACTACAAATACAGTTATTTTCTGGTCATGTATTTAATGGCCCCCCACCTCTGCTTTAGATAAGAATGTACAAATAGCTCTGCTAGGTCGGCCAAAGCCTATCTCGATCCAAGATTTTGCTTCTCACAATGGCCCACTAGATACCTCTGGGGTACTCACAAGCAAGAGATGAAGACATCCACTCTCTCACTGTGATTCCCCTGCACCTGGTAACTGGACATATGCTGCCCCCAGCTTGGAAGTCTTCAGGATTAATAGCCCTTGCTACACCTGCCCTCCATGGATTTATCCAGTATGACTCTCACCATGTCTTGTACCATTGAATTCAACAGGTTAATGAAACACGTATTTTATTTACTTTGTAGATGAAAAGAAAGGCAGACTTATCCGAGAATGAGTCCTGTTAAGGAGGACTGCCTAAGATGGCAGTCCAGTTCTCAATAATACAAAATCAAACCTAGCTCAGTTGAGCTATAATAATCTGTACTCCCAGAGAACCTGCCATTACATCCATAAAACAAGTGTCAATTGGCTTTACTTATTGTATTATGCCATTAGCAGATTGGTTTGGTGTTGGCTCCCTGAGCTGTACGAACTCAAGCAATTGTGAGTTTCATTGCCATCTTCCAGAATTTTTGTTTTCAGTTTCCCAGTCTGGTAGCGTCCTATCCAAATACTACCCAGGTCAAACTCTTTTCAGCTTTTAAGCCCAGACAAAGTTCGCTAGATGCTGCCATTTGCAGAGCCATTCGTTTCCTTATATTGTCAAAACTAAAGGGTCAGTAAACAAGTGAGAGATGATTTATAATATTTTATTACTGTTGGCATCTGTTTCTTTCCAGTTTGTTTTCAGCTGGGAATTCACATAACATGATTAAAGAAAAGATTCTATTCTTTAATGGTTGGGAGAGGAGAGGTAATCTGGGATCCTTTTTAGACCACAGTAGGGCTCAGGTATGTGGATATGTTCACGAGGTGACTCCATGACTCCATGTGGGATGATGTAAATGTTCCAGAAGTGGACAAACATTGAAAGATGTTCAGAGGTTAAAATGTTTGGAGGGCTCTATTCTGGAGTCAGAAAATTTTGCACCTCGCCCTAAAACAGGCCTTTGTACTGATTTTTACTTTTATATACTGAGATTTAACTCTGGGACATGATCCCTCCAGCATTATTTTGGGTGTGTCTTAACTCCAAAGGAAGTCCTATTGGGTCTAAAAAAGGCTTACCGCATGGAAATATGCTCCAATGTAATTGGATATGGTTGGGGACAGAGAAGAGAGAGATTTACTAATACACCATGTTACATTTTTCTCCTAACTTTTTTCAAAGGATTTTCACTGGAGAGGGGGACAAATCACATTTGTATTTCCTGCAATAATGCCCTGGATCCATTCAATATAATTGATGACCTTGATGTAGATGCCAGGCTCAAGAAGTTGGGCACAAGGAGAGCCCCCCCAAGATACAATGCCCTGGAATTCTCCATTACACAGGAGGGGTCCCCCGGAGTCACCCTATTGAGAAAATCAACCGGATTATGAAACAGCACGTTACTATCTATGAATGGGAAGTGGAGCAAACGGTTCCCTTTTTATTCCACCTTCCATTTGGATAGAGCCCCAGATGTTTCACTTCAGGGTTCCCCAAACCAGGACCCTTGTAGAAGTGGGGATTTAACTCCCAGAATTCCCCATCGCCACTATTGGGAATTTGGAGTTGAGATCCAAGTTATAAAATCCTATAATGTACTACAGTACGTACGTTTCTACCAAGATGCCTTCTAGGCTGGATCTCTACCATAGTCATGGTTCCCTTAGGAAACTTATTCAGAGGCGATCATCTTACCTCACATGAATCTTTGCCTCCTTCCAGGTCTCCAGCACACAACATGTTCTTGGTCACTGTCTGGTGTGGGTAAGCTGCTTGACACACCTGATTATGGACTATTTGAATGTCAACGCAATAAGGGACTTTGGGATAAGTCACTGAAAAGATTAAAAATAGGCAAGTTACACAATTTTGCCTTTCCCAAGGTAAAGATATTAAAGGTAACCAAGCCATGCAAGACTGCCATGCCAGTGGGACCTTTTTGGTTCCCAGTGGTGTTCCTATAAATAAAATGCTAGGGACTGGTGTTTTGCTATGCCACATACCAGTTTCTTACTTATTTCTTTTACATCAAGAACCTTGTGGGGCATGCAACTGATGAGGCAATGGGATCTTGGGGCACCCCATTGCCTACCCACGTTCCAACCTTTTCATGGGTGACATCAGACGTAGTGGGACTCTAAGCCTGACTGATGTTGCATCAAAAGCTGGATCTGAGAGAGAGTGTAGGCAGACCCCTACCCTCAGGAGTTGTGATAGTGCCCCAGCCCATAACAGTGCAATACGAGCTCATAGTGGGAGAGCTGGAGGGCAGGCTGAGAGGCGCGATGTGTGCAGTGTAGTTAACGGAGCTGTTCAGTCTGATCAACATGATGTCATGCTTGTATGTGGTACAGTTGCTGGTGTCAGGACAACACCATTCCTCCATTGGCTCTCTTATCTGCTCATTCCCATTTGGCGTATCTCTATTATGCACACCAAGCTTCATGTGGAATTTGTTACTGCAAGAAAAACAACAAAAAGTTGTGGGGTCACTTAAAGTAAACACTAGATTACTGTGAGACCAGGCTGAAGCTGCTAAACTAAAATGAAGCAGGCACATAAGCAGAGAAGACAAAAAGCAGGAATCTTGTCTAAAGGATCCCTTCAGGGAGGTAGATAAGAAGAAAACAAGTTGCTAAAGAAACAAAGGAAAAAATGTCACCTGAACCAGACAAAGGAAGTTGGGCCTCAAAAGCCAATCCCAGCTAATCAACAAAGCAAGAATTTGGGGGTATAAAAAGGGGCCCTGAAGCTGCCCACTCCTTGGGTTGTCTTTGGATCCAGAATTGGCAGCTTCCGTGCCTCTAGCTAGTGCCTGACAGCTTAGTTGAGAAGTACGTAGGTAAGCGTGGATGCGTGTGTGTGTGTGCATTTGAGAAAAAGCAGGTGTACATTGTAACCGGTAAAGTTTTGCTGTTATTTCAAATTCACTGGGCCTCCGTGTATTCCAAAGAACCTGATGTGCCTCTGTGTTTGGTTGGGAGGGATTTGTGTGTGTCCCTAGTTATTTCCCAGCTGATGATCAGGGCTGTGTGTCTTGACTGCTCTAGCCACACCTCTCTGGAAAGCCCAGGTAGAAAGCAAGGGGGGCTGACAAGATCCACGTGCCTCAACAGGATGGGTGTTGAGTGAGTGACCATAAGCTGAACCTGGGAGCGCATGTAACATTACTTGGGATGGCTACTCCACCTCATCTTTGGCATTCAGGCAGGATCATTAGCGCCAAACAAGAAAGGGCCATAACCCAGTTTAATACCCAGCATCCCCAGTTGGGTTTGGGGAAAAAAACCCTGCCTGAAACCGGGAAGAGCTGCAATCAATCCATATCTGAATGAGATGCCCCAGAGGTCTGGATTCACCCAGCGAATTTACTTGGACAATTGAATTAAGCTATTTTCATAGTTGGTGCGAAACCTTGAAACCTAAACTCAGCTACGTGCTGGGTTTGTGCAACAAGCTAAGTCACATAATGGGGGGAGGGGGGGAAAGCAAGTTTAGCACTGAGCAAGCTCAGCATATTGTATGACTAAATCTCTCCTTTCCTGACTTGGATGTGCATTGTGTGAATTTATGAACTTCTGAACCATAGCTGACTGTGTTAAAGGGTTGAGATAGGGCCCACATGATCATGGTACTAAAACTATGATTTTGTGCTAAGCACATCCACTCTCAACCCAACTTATTTTGAAAGATGGTGGGATAAATAATTAAGAACACAAGACAGTGCCCACTTTGCTGCTGTTTAGAAGAGCTGTGAAGACCTGGCTCTTCACCCAGGCCTTTGGTGAGGGAGAGAGAGAGAGAAAGAGACCCCTTCCTCAATCGTACTTGCCATCCTTTATCTTCTGTGAAATTTATTGTAGTTTCTTCAGTTACTGCAAACTGCCTAGAGTCATTGAGAGTCAGGCGGCATGTGATGTATGTGTGACCAACCATTAATATAGTATGGTTGGTCGCACAGTCAGCCAGATGTTTAGACTGGACTTGGCATTTTTATCCACCTGTCAAGTCCTTCCCAAGGGCC